GTGACACAGGCTATTTTCTTCATGGGGTTGGGGGGAGGTGAAGGATATTTGCTGATTCTGGGTGTGGCCTAAGGATCTGACTTTGTCCAAGAAAAGGAAATATTCTGTGGGAAAGAGAAACTAGCAGAGCTTTTGGCAGTCATGTGGAACTGGCTTGATGGATTGGAAACTAGAGGAGCCCCAAAGGCAAGTCCAGTATTCCCAGGAGATGTTTGCTGAACTCTGGAGCAGTTCTGGAGGTTTCTGGTTGGCCCAGAAAGGCAAAGCAAAAGCTCATAATCTTGGGGGTACTTGGGAGACAAAATCTTGGTAAAAAGAGGAGCCTGAAGCAAATATACAATGACTCTTCCCCTGAAGACTGTTGCCAGATTTTGAATCTACATGGGATGGGAAGCTAAAAAGCTAAGGTCAAATTTTCTGAAAGGCAGAACTTATAGGAATGAGAAGTTAGAGATCTACCAGGCTCTTACACACAAGTCTGGAAGGGCCATACCTGAAGAACTAGATAAAGTAGAGGTGGACTAAGCCTTACTAGAGCTATAGCCCATCTCTGATTCACTCAATCCCTGATTATAGTTCTTTTACACGCAGTGTTCAACATACGAAGTTGTAGACATGTTGAGAGGCAGGAAAACGTGACTGATAATTAAGTGGAAAAAATAATGAGAGCATAACCACAAATGATCTGGGTGTTGGAGCTAGTGATAACTTAAAAGTGACTGAATAATATGTTAAAGAAAATAGTGGAAAAGATGAATCAAATGGTGGGAGAAATTCAATGCAAAATTGGAATCTGTAAAAAAAAAATCAAAGAGTTATTATTGAATGGGAAAAAATATGTGTGAAATTAATAACTTAGTGGATGGGTCTAAGAGCAGACTGGACACAGTGTTACAGGATTAGTGAAGCATAGAGAGGAAAAAAGAATGGAAAGAATAGAATAAATTACAAGAGGCATGGGGGAGATTGTCAAAATGTCTAATATATATGTACTTGAAATTCTAGAAGGTAAGGAGAGAAGCAATATATGAAGGAATAATGGCTGAGAATTTTCTAACACTGCTGAAAGACATCAACCCACAGCTTCAAGAATCTCACCAAACCCCAAACTAAAAATACAAAGAAAAATAAGTATGCTTAGGCATATCCTAGTTAAAATGTTGAAAACCAAAGACAGAGAAAACCTTAAAAGTCAACCAGAGGAAAAAGACATTACCTTAAATTTAAAAAGTAACTGACATTTCAACTGAAACTATGAATACCAACAGACAATGGAATGACATCTTTAAAGTGCTGAAATTTAGGGGATAGATTAGATAATCTCAACACTCCATTCCTCTATTCCTACCTTAAAGAACTAGTCACCAGCCTCTTCAAAATTACTATGAATATGTTTGGAGAATTACTACTTGAGGTTTTCTAGACTTTTTCATTAAATATACATGCTTATTTCATCTCCTAATTCTCAGATTTCTGTTGTCTTGGATTCATATCACATAGCATGATATTGGCTTCTAAAATTCACATTGGAAACTCATTATAAATCAAGTAAAGTAGCACTTAATTTGGATAGACAGATCATGTTCTAAAGTAGAATATAAATGTTTGAAGGTAGAATGAATGAATGGCTTTATAAAAAGGAAACTGTGATATAATGGTATGATTCATGTATAGTGAATCATTAGTTAAGGTGTTGAATGGAATAGTGATTTAGAACTCCTTGCTACTCAAAATGTGGCTTTGACACCAAAAGCACAAGCAACAAAAGAAAAAAATAGATAAATTGGACTTCATCAAAATTAATAAACTTTTGAGCTGCAAAGGACACCATCAAGAAAATGAAAAGACAGCTCACAGACAAATCATATATCTGATAAGGGAGTTGTATCTAGAACATATAAAGAACTCTTAAAGCTCAATAGTAAAAAGATAACACAGTTTAAAAATGGGCAAAGAATCTGAAGAGACAATACTACAAAGTAGACAAATAAATGGCCAGTAGGCCCATGAAAAGATGTTCAGCATCACTTGCCATTAGGGACATGCGAATCAAAACTACAGTGAGATACCACCTCACTCCCATGAGGATGGCTATAATAAAAAAGACAAATAAGAACAAGGATGTGAAGACATTGAAACCCTCATCCACTGTGGTGGTAATGTAAAAAATTACATTACCCTCATCCACTGTGGTGGTGTAATAAATTATTCCTGTGGTGAAGATGGTGATGATGATGGTAATGATGATGTCTTATTTACCAGGTTCTGGCTTATTCATCAATATTGTAAAGCGGTTCTGTGAATTTTGGCAGTTTTGTAGATAACTTTTACTGAAATTAAGAACACATCACTAGGGACTTCCCTGGTGGTGCAGTGGTTAAGAATCCGCCTGCCAATGCAGGGGACACGGGCTTGATCCCTGCTCCAGGAAGATCCCACATGCCACGGAGCAACTAAGCCTGTGCGCCACTACTGAACCTGCGCTCTAGAGCCCACGAGCCACAACTACTGAAGCCCACATACCTAGAGCCTGTGCTCCGCAATGATAGAAGCCACCGCAATGAGAAACCCGCATACCACCACGAAGAGTAGCCCCAGCTCGTAGCAACTGGAGAAAGCCCGCATGCAGCAATGAAGACCCAACACAGCCAAAAATAAATAAATATTTTTTTTTTTAAAAAAGGGGGGCTTCCCTGGTGGCGCAGTGGTTGAGAGTCCGCCCGCTGATGCAGGGGACACGGGTTCGTGCCCCGGTCTGGGAGGATCCCACATGCCGCGGAGCGGCTAGGCCCGTGAGCCATGGCCGCTGAGCCTGCGCATCCAGAGCCTGTGTTCCACAACGGGAGAGACCACAACAGTGAGAGGCCCCATATGAGACTTCTTAGGGAATTTTTTTTAAAATGCTGATACCTGGACCTTATTATAAGATATTCCAATTTCATTGATATGGAACAGGACTTTAGTTGTTTTTGCTTTTGTTTTTGTTTTCTAACTTCTCAGGAGATTCTGTTGTGCAGCTAGGGTTGAGAGCTACTGAGTCAAGTTGACATCTCCAGGGTTAAGCAGAGCTACCATTGAGGGTTAACTTGGAAGTGGAAGAGGAGGATTGGCACAGGAACCAGGAGACCTGGGTTTGAGTCTGCACTCTTCCCTTTTTCTGACTGTGTGCTTTGAGCAAGATATTTGACCTCAAGGAGCTTCAGTTTCTTCATCTGTAAAATGGGACAAAGCACCCTCCCCTCCTGTGGAGGGTTGTTGCGAGGAGCAGATGAATTCATACATGTGACACTGCTGAGCCTGACACCCGGGACATTTTTTGCCCTATTTATTATTTATTTATTTATTTATTTATTTATTTATTTATTTTTTGCGGTACGCGGGCCTCTCACTGTTGTGGCCTCTCCCGTTGCGGAGCACAGGCTCCGGACGCGCAGGCCCAGCGGCCATGGCTCACGGGCCCAGCTGCTCCGCGGCATGTGGGATCTTCCCAGACCGGGGCACGAACCCGTGTCCCCTGCATCGGCAGGCGGACTCTCAACCACTGTGCACCAGGGAAGCCCTGCCCTCTTTATTTTTAAAAAAATTTTTTGGCCATGCCGTGGGGCATGCAGGATCTTAGTTTCCCGGTCAGGGATTGAACCCGTGCCCCCTGCCTTGGGAGCATGGAGTCTTAACCACTGGACTGACAGGGAAGTTCCTGCCTCTTTAAATTTTGGTTACTTTATTCTCTTACCTTCCATGAACTAGATATTTATGTCACTTTTTTTTTTTTCTAATTTTGTTCTATTATTGCTTTTTCTGTAAACTGTAGGAGTTTGTTAAAAGTCATCCGAGGTTTCTCTAGGTTTAGAATTTATCCTTTCTTCACGTGACCTTGATCTCTTTACGTTCCTCAGCTATATTCTCAGTCCCACTGTACTTATGGTAAATGTCATTTTTTGATACCTGAAAAAGTAATGGCTCATTGTATATTTTAATGAGGTGATACCAAATGCCGTTAATAGCTCTGCCTGGAGTTTAGCATGATTTGTCTGTCATTAACTGATCCTGGAATAAATCATAGGATTGATATTGAATAAATTAATTCAATATTTTAAAAACACCAAACAGGGGCTTCCCTGGTGGTGCTGTGGTTAAGAATCTGCCTGCCAATGCAGGGAACACGGGTTCGAGCCCTGGTCCGGGAAGATCCCACATCCCATGCAGCAACTAAGCCCGTGTGCCACAACTACTGAGCCTGTGTTCTAGAGCTCGTGAGCCACAACTGCTGAGCCTGCATGCCACAACTACTGAAGCCCACATGCCTAGAACCCGTGCTCCGCAACAAGACAAGCCACCACAATAAGAAGCCTGCGCATCGCAATGAAGAGTAGCCCCCGCTTGCTGCAACTAGAGAAAGCCTGCACACGGCAACGAAGATCCAATGCAGCCCCCCAAAATAAATAAATAAATAAAACACCAGAGTTCTCAGCCTTAGCTGTGGTTTCTGTCTAGTGCATTTGGCATAGTCTCTTTGGTCCTAGGTGAGAAAGATAGCCTGTTCTGAGATTATACATTTTTATTAGATTTACTCTTTAACCTAAAAGAAAGGCTGGGTTGGTTACATTCATATGTGAATCTGAAACACAGATGGACTCCAGGACAGTCTGACATGTGCCTGTACAGTCTGTGAGAAAGCTAGAGTCCACCCTTCCCTGGAGATGTGGCAGTACCATCTGGACAGTGCTGGAGTTGGATGGTGTGGAGCAGAACACCTCACATTTTAATGTGCATGCATATCACCAGGGGTCTCTTCCACTGTAGATGTTTCTCAGTCGGTCTGGGGTGGGGCCTGAGATCCTGCATTTCCTGCAAGCTCCCAGATGGTTTCGATGGCAAGGGTATAGAAGACAGCACTTTCTGTCTGCCCAGCACTTTCCTCCAGGGAAACCTTCCTTCCTCCATTCCAACCATGAAGTTCAAGGGTGAACTTCCATGTTCTTACATTACTCTGTTTCCCGGGCCACAGTCAATTGGTTCAGGGACCAATCAGAATCTTCCCTGGCATTTTTGGACTTGGAACCAGAGAGCCAGTCTCAGATCTTCTCTGTGGAGCCCCATGGAGGTAATTGGTCCAAGAAGCACAGATGAGGGACAGAGAGATTGCCCCCAGGGTTCTCAGGTCTGGGTTCCAATGTCCGTAATATATGAAAAGTGATTTAAAAATAAACAACACTGTGAGCTTTGGGGTTATGTTACCAGCTCTGACGATCCAGTGCATTTGTGTAAACTGTTTCAGGCACTTACTGTATACAAGTCTCTGTTGCTGGGCCCCGAACATACGAAGATGAATAGCTCACCTCCTGTGTGGGGAGACCACCATTTCAGTAGAATTTGACGTGTGCAATGGTAAGGGGTTACGGAAGCCCCTAGAAGAAGCTTCTGATCCACTCAGGAAAAGTTTTAGAAATGGATTTTCAAAAGGTGAACAGGGATTGTTTGAGGAGGCCTGTGAAATTATTCCAGGTAGAGAAAACTTGCTGAGCAAAGGCAAGATGATGGGATGAAACAGGGTTTGAAAACCTATAACCAGTTTACGTGGGAGGTGCGTGGCTGAAACCGGGGCAGTTACGGTGAAGGGCCTTGTATACACGCTGCCATTGGCCACTTTTGCCTTATGTCCTATGTACTTCAACAACAACAGCAGCAACATCAAAACAATAACAAACAGCAAAGCTAAATCTCTGCTTCTCTTCCAAATACACGACTCTCTGGCGGGTTCCCATCAACAACTGTTCCTCTTTATTTTCCCTTAAACAAACAGGAAATTTGTCTCAGGATCGAAATGAATGTTTAAAAAACAAACCTGATCTGCTTTAAATACTAAAATCTGTTTAAATAACACAGAGGTTGTGACATCCATTGACAAATCCAGGAAGTTCAAAGCCCCGCCGTTGACACAATGTATTGAGTTCTGCTGTTGTTGGCAGCCCGACCTGTGGCAGGTCCTGGTGTTTGTCATTCAGGTCCTCATGTGCGCAAGGCAGCCATTCCTCAGACCACAGGGCTCTTTCTTCTTTGGGGAAACATTTGTTTTTCTTTTTTTTTTTTTTTTTAGATTAGTATTTTTTTAAATGCTTTTTGAAAGCAAGAGCAGCGATTGACAGTGATGGCTGCTACTTCCATCTCCTGAATGGCAAGCCCCAAGAGTAGCTTGGAGCCTTTCTCGTGGGCAGATTTTAGCCGTTTTAAAGGTTAGAAAAAAAAGTTTATGCTTTTACTGACGTTCATCAACCTAAATTGAAATCTGTACCCATTAAACACTAATTTCCCACCCCTCCTGGGCCCTGGTAACACCCATTCTACCTTCTATCTCTATGAGTTTGGCTGTTCTAAGTGCTTCACATAAGTGGAATCATACAGCATTTGTCCATCTGCGTCCGGCTTATTTCGCTGAGCATAATGTCATCAAGCTTCACCCGTGTTATAGCATATGTCAGAATTTCTTTCCTCTTTAAGGTTGAATAATATTCCATTGTGTACGTTTTGCTTACTCGTTCATCCATTGATGGGCACTTGGGTTGCTTCCAAGTTTTAGCTATTGTGAATAATGCTGCTCTGAACATGGGCTTGCAGATATCTGAGTCCCTGCTTTTAGTGGACTCTTATTTTCAAAAAAGCTGCATGGAGCTCATGTGGGACCTTTCTGGCTGTGAGAGAAGGCTGACCTGGGAGTCAGGGCCTTGACTCCACTGCTCCCTGCTGTGAAGTCGCTGGGGCCTGGAGCAAGTCACACACCATCTCTGGGTCACAGTTTCCCCACCTCTGAGCTTAGGGAGTCGGTTGCACCTCCCAAATTCTGCCCCCAGGTGCCCTTGCATGGGACATTCTGTACCCAGACTTGCACAGTCAGCGGTGAAGGTGAAAGGTCCGTTCACCTGGCTTCCGTTTGTTGCTCGGTGGAGTTAGAAGTGGAGTGGACTCTCAGCACGAGCAGTTTGTCATTCACACACTTCCCAGTGTTTTTGAGCAGCCCTGATGGCCCATGGCACATGGAAATCTGTTGTTTTGCTGGGCCATGAACTTGAAGCTCATACAGGCTGAGATGGATGTGTGGGTGCAAGTCACTTAGTGGGTGAGTCGGGCTGGACACCTGCCCAGGATCCACCCCTCAGTGGGGTGTTGTCGACTGCTACTCATCCCTTCTTACACTGTGACTTTTGTGAAGTGGTAGAACTTCGGTGACTGTGTGTGTGTGTGTGTGTGTGTGTGTGAGAGAGACACACACACACACGCGCGCACACACACACACACGTGGGGCGGGGGGGAAGAGGGTGATGGGAAATGCTTCTAAAAAGATCTGACCGCTGGGGCTGGTGATGGAGGTAAAAGAAAGCAGAGAAGCCTAAGGAACTGAGGGTCCTTCTGGAAATAGATTAAAAAGTGGCCCATCTGCCTCCCCAGTAGCTCTACAGAATAAACAAGTTCACTATAAATTCCCTACAGAAAGAAGACAAACCTCCTTGTGAAATTTCACAGAGTGTCTCAGCCAGCAGAAGATTTGCTCATTGAGAGAGAAAAATTTAGAGAAGTTTGAAAGAGGGGCCCAGGAGAAAGGCAGGAGACCATGCAGACGTTTCCAGGAAGCAGCAGATGGAAAGGCACCAGTCTGGCTATAAACCAACCTTATTTTCAAGTAAGGGCTGGTTTGAAAATTCTCAGAGGTGTTTTTCTTGGCAAAAGGTGCAGTTAATAGGAACAAGCAGGCCAGCTGTCTATCTCATGGAAGACGAGATTCCTCCTAAGCTGAAGAAACCCATAGAGGAACAGAGCCACAAGCCCTCAGCTGTGACTGTTGCAGGGCATGTGGGAGGTGATGGTTCCACAAAGGAGACTAAAGTCATATGAAAAAAGCCATCAGAGAAGACAATTAGAGGAGGCCATGTATGTATATGTATATCAAATCATCACGTTGTGCAGTTTAGATATATACAATTACATTTGTCAACTATTCCTCAATAAAGTTGGAAAAAAAGAAAAAACCTGGTAAAAAGGGCAAAGGAGATGAAGACAATGGTGAAGAGTTAAGAAAGTCTTCAGAAACGTTATGAGTTGTTCCGTTAACACCAAGCTGCCATCGCTAACCTCCCGTCAGCAGAATGGAGGCCTTTTCAGCAATTCCAAGAAATAAATCTCTGTTGACACCATCCCAGGAAATGTCCAAGAATTTGCAAAAGTAAAGAGGGATTAATGAGATTAACTTTGGTTAAGACTAAGGAAGGAAAGGAAAAAAAAAACAAAGTAAGAGAAAATGACAATAAAAGTAAGAACAAAAGGGAAGGTGATAGGGAATTCCCTGGTGGCACAGTGGTTAAGAATCCGCCTGCCAATACGGGGGACATGGGTTCGAGCCCTGGGCCGGGAAGATCCCACATGCCGCAGAGCAACTAAGCCCGTGTGCCACAACTACTGAGCCTGCACTCTAGAGCCTGCGAGCCACAACTACTGAGCTTGCGCACCACAACTACTGAAGCCCGCGCGCCTAGAGCCCGTGCTGCGCAACAAGAGAAGCCACCACAATGAGAAGCCCGCTCACCGCAATGAAGAGTGACCCCCACTCGCCACAACTAGAGAAAGCCCACGTGCAGCAACGAAGACCCAACGCAGCCAAAAGTAAATAAATAAATAAATTTATTTTAAATAAAGGGAAGGTGATAAAAATGGACGCAAATGAGATAAAATAATATTTCTCCAAACTGCTAAATGTTAATGAGTGGAAAACATAGATGAAAAACATTTTTGGAAAAACTGAAAATGAGACACTTGAATCCAGGAGAAAGAAAAGACTTGATTAGGATTAAAGGCCACCCCAACTAGAAGCTCCAGGTCCAGAGGCAGGCAGGTCAGAGTAGAGACCACAGTAAAGACCATCTTTATCCTTTATAGGAAAAGAAGCAGGGAAGCTGATGAATTAATTCATGTGGTTTGTATAACCTTGTTTCCAAAACCAGACAGTTGCACTGCAAGATAATAAAATTTTAGGCCCACTTCATTTATGACGATAGACACAAAACTCCTAAATAAAATGCCAGATAAGAAGAGGGCAGGATGGGGAGAGAAGAGCTGCTCTTTGAGATAAAAGCACTTTAAGATAAAAGCCACCGCTCCGTTTTCACTTTGAGAAATCTGTTTCCTCTTGTCCTTTGCTTTCTACTTTGCAACTGTCTCTCTGACCTTGTTGCCACTTCTTTTTTGTTCCTGAAGACACCACAGGTCTTTTTCGTTATCAAGGTTTTCGCTGCAAATTAAGCAAGGAAGGCAAACAGAAAGTGACCTTAAATGAATAAACTACCACAAAGGTTCTAAGAGCTCACAGAGTTTCTGTACTGAACGTTCCTGGTTTATATTTCCAGACTTCTTTTTGAGATGGTAAATGAATGAAGATGAGACCCGTTAAACACACTCCCTCCTTCTGACCATCTGCTTGTTGCCTTGTTCCCAGCTTGGGACCTGAAGAGGCCTCCAAGACCGCACGTGACGTCCCCTTGAGTGAGATGGCAGTTGACATCTCCGAGGGCATCCAGCTTGCGTGACCCATCCCGATACGGCTTGCTTCGTACTTCTCATTGCAAGGAAGCAAGTCCTTAGGGTGACCTTCCTCATGGAAGCCGTTTTGTATTCCAGAATGCGGAATTCTGGGAAAAAACATCTTTCTTGAGCAGACATTCCAAAGTTGGGTCTTTGATTCTCAAAACTTTTTGTGCCGATGTTTAGAGGCACCGCTGGAGGCTGAGTCCTGTTACTGCCATTCCTAAGAGACTTTTATGTAATTTCTAGCTCTGAGAGATGTGGACTAGCCTCTTCCCTCTCCTGTGGCTTCTAGATGTTTGCAAGTAATTAATTAATGATTTCATTGCTCCCTCCCTTAGGCAGTACCTGGTTTCTTAGAATGTGTGTCACGGGCCAGAAAGACAGGGGCATTAGGGCAGGGCGAGAGACGGTGCTGTTAGCAAAGGCAGGTTGACAGCTAGGTTTTTAGCTGGAGGATCTGGGAACAGGTGAATGAGTACTTCTGACCTTGAGGATTCTTTTTGCACAGCTGAGACAAGATGGAAACAGGGATTCTTGCTATGCCCCTGCCCAGGGGAGAGACAAGGTTGGATGTTGGCTTCCAAACGCCTCCTTTGAAGAGTTTGGAAGTTAAATGTTTCTTTGAAGAGTCTCACCTCAAAATAAGCTAGAACTTAGCATTTTCCGCTAAATGCAGGGGTATTTGGGAAAGGTATTTAGGGGGACTAGGAAGTGTTTGGGGGAAAAAGTCATGAAGTGGGAAGACATGGCTGATGTCCGGGATCTGAACTAGTACAAACTAAGCTTGTGAAGAATGGCTTTGGAGAAGGTTGCCGAGGGCCTGCTGCTCTGATGACCTTTTGTTGAAATGGTTTCTGCAGGTGATCACGGCTGGTTTATCGATATTGCTGTTCGATATGATCCTGACCAGGGCCACCGTGGGATGGTAAGTCTTCTGCATAGAGAGAGGAGAAGAAAATTAGTTGTTTGTGTTTCCTTGGGATACTAATATTTGCTCTCAAATGTTGAAGAAAGGGTGTGTGTTCGGGTATATATTTTACTGACATATAAATATACATTCAGAAGAGTGCATCTATCGTGAATATTTTCACAAACTGAATACACCACACCTGCTATAGCCAGCATCCAGAGCAGGAACCAGAGTCTCAACGGTATACCTTTCAGCCACTCATCCACACAAGAGTAACCACTATAGCTGAACCACTAATCATGCGTGCATATAACTATAACTATGTTTGTGTTTTTGCCTTTGACCCCTCAATTCATTTTCTCCTAGTCAAGTTCCAGATCATCCTTGTTTAGAACGCACCCATCCATTTGCTTAAAGACAGCACTGCCTCTGTCTCCCGTATTTGAGCAGAGACCTGAAGGAAGTGGGGGAGTGAGCCGTGGGGACCCTGGGGGGAAACAGGAAGTGCAAAGGCCCTGAGTGTGCTTGGTCTGCTCAAGGAGCAGTGTGGCCGGAACAGGTTGATGGGGGAGAGTAGTAGGAGATGAGGCTGGTTGGTGGCTGACCATGTGGGGTCTTAAAGGCCATTGGAAGAGCGAGGGGGGAAGCGATCAGAGGATTCTGAGCAGAGGAGCCACTTGCTCCTAGGTTAAAAACACATTCCTCAGTCTGCCGTGTGGAAGATGGGCTGTAGGGTGCTACCTCTGAACGCTCTACACAGACTGCCGATTGGACAGCTGACGGAGTTAGTACTTTGATCCACTCCAGCTTGCTAGTATTCAAACCAGCTGACGTGATCATTACCAAGGGCTGTCGCTGTCATCTTCAGGGAAGATGAGGCGAGGTGGGGAGTGATGGTGAGTTTAAACTTAAGACTTCTGTTGCTCCTCTCATTAGTGGGCGTGCTTTATTTGGGGGGGTATATACTTAAGTATTTTAAATCTACATAGTAACGGGTGCTATTTGTGAGACGTTTAAGACAATGCAGAAATGCATCGAGTAAAAAGTAAAGGCCTGTCATCCTCTGCTTCCACTGTCTCCACTTGCCAGAAGTCACACCAGTTTGATTCAACAGTGAGAACAATGCACTGTTTGGTCAGGATGTCCACGCTGAGGGAGGTGGGCTCTATCGTCTGCCAAGTGAAACCACACCGAGGGGTGTCTGTCGAGCAAGACGAGCCTCTCAGTCACCCGGGAATGGGTCAGTCCTTGCCAAGTCTTCGCCCAGCCTGCCGGCTGCTGGCCGGATGACCCGCAGCTTTCCTCCCCTGTGACCATGGCTGCCTGCTGTCCGGCCTGAATGACTAACGCAGCACATTATGGAGAATAAGTCATATTTGTTGTTGCTACTTACTGGTCCCTTAACCTCTGTTTTAAAAAGGAAAACAAGCCTAGGGCCACTTGAAGATAATGCTTATTTCCGTTCCAGTTTGGATGCATCGTTTGGCAATCCCCCCTCACCCCCGCCCCAAGAATGGCACTCCAAAACTGAATTGCAGACAAGTTTTGGAATAGGTTTTTCCATTTCTTTACCAGCATGATGGAAAGAAAAAGCATATTGTTGCTTAGCTTTGCTCAGATAAGGCGTAGTTCTAGAAAATCCATATTTTTTCTCATTCTGGGGCTGAGAGTAACCCTAAGGGTTGGTTCCTCCCACCCCCTCCCTCCACTTTTTTGCATTCATGTGCACATTGGACCTGCAGAATTGTCACCTGTTTGCTCAAAAGCCACAGTGCTGGTTGGTGGGGCCGGTACTCGTGCTCCGTGTGTCTAGGGCAGCCTCCCCTCTACCAGGACGTCTTGCAAATAATCCCCTGCCTTGTGCGATCATAGCCACACACACAAAAACGGTGTCATTTTGAAACATCAATATGAGGTTCTTGCAAGATAAATGTGAGGGTCAGGACCACGCTCTGGGAAATACCATAATGAGGAAGTCCAGGAGGCGACTTTGCATCTCATGTGGCTTTGGGCTGGGAGGGGTTGGTTCAATAAACAGATATTTCCTGGGGGTCTGTGTGCCAGGAACAGCTCTTGGATAAAAGTGTAAAGTCACTGCCCCTGGGATGTCTGTTATTGCTCATCTCCCTGCCTGAGGGCAGGTCTGTACCTAAACCATCCAGACTGACGGAAATGAATCTTTTTGCTCACGGCATTCGGTGAAAGCAATTTTCAACCCCTCTCAGGAGCCCCTAATGGGGCATTTCCTGCCCCAAGAAGAAAAACGGAAGGAAAAGAAAAATTAGGAAATACTCCCACACTCTCCTCTTCTTCCTCCTCCTCTTAGTCTCACCTCTTCCTTTGAATAATAATAACCATTTATTGAGCAACTACTATATTTCAGACATTTTTATATTAATATTATCTCATTAACTTTCACAACAACCCTCCAAGTTAGCCCCGTTTTAAAGATGAAGAAACTGAGGTTCAGAGACATTTAACTGATTGTCCCAAGATTTTAGAACTACTAGGTGATTGGACCAGGATTCAAACCCAGGTCTGTGTGTGTCCAACATCCCATAAACTTCACATACCTCCCTAGAAATGACGTGGGAAACGCCAGGGACTTAGCAGCAGCGTAGATAGTGTCTAGGTAGAAGCAGGTCATGGAGAGGTGGAAGAGACATTGGCCTAAATGTTTCTCTTCCCACCAGTCTGATCGTTTATAAAGAGCATCTAGATGATATGGCAGGAGTACAGAAGGAGCGTTACCCAGGACAAAACAGCTCTATTTCTTGTTCAGTGGCTGACACGGTGAACTAAGAATGTCCAGTGGAACATTTTTAGGAAAAGGATTTCATTGCCTTAGATTTCTTTTTTAAATTTATTTATTTTATTTTTATTTTTTATTTTTTGGCTGCGTTGGATCTTTGTTGCTGCGCAGACTTTCTCTAGTTGCGGCGAGCGGGGGCTACTCTCTGTTGCGGTGCACGGGCTTCTCACTGTGGTGGCTTCTCTTGTGGAGCACGGGCTCCAGGCTCATTGGCTCTAGAGCGCAGGCTCAGTAGCTGTGGCGCACGGGCTTAGTTGCTCCGCGGCATGTGGGATCTTCCCGGACCAGGGCTCGAACCCGCGCCCCTGCATTGGCAGGTGGACTCTTAACCACCGCGCCACCAGGGAAGTCCTGCCTTAGATTTTTAATACTAGAGGCTATAATTCTATCAATCAACTAACAATATTTATTGAGTGACTGCTGTATGCAAAGCATGTGGAAGTCACTAAGGAACATAAGACATCATCCAGCCCTCGAGGAGTTTTCGGGAGAAGTCGTAAAGATCGTTTCTGCAGTAGGATAGTAACCGTTTGAGTGCACAATGAATGTGAAGACTGGAGGAGAGAGAGGGTGGGGTGAGCTGGAGGGCCTTGGAACTGGCTTGAAACTGGACCTGATGCAGAAGGGAGAGGCTTAGTCAGACTGGGGGTGGAAGAGTATTTGGTCCCTCCGGCCCTGGGAGGACAGGGAAGGGTGGAGGGGCAAGAGGTGCCAACGGTGAGACTTCGCGATTTGGAACCAGAGCTGGTGCTGGGGGGCAGGTAGCTGATCCTACACTCCCTCCTCCTTACTCTGCACCTGTCCTTCTGGGAAGGCAGGACACAAACGGGCAGGTTGACGTCCAAAAACCTAACTGCCAAGATATCCTGGTGCATCCTCGAGACTCTCCCCCAATTTCTGTATCTTATCCTTCATAGTGATCATCTCAACTCTTGACAGTAATTTTCCTTCTTACAAATAAGCTTCATTGACTGTATTTTGTATACAATTTCAGAGTGAGTTAAAAAACAGCAGAAGAACAAAAAACACCCAGGTGTTGAACTGAGTGTGAGAAATGAGCCTGAGGTGCTCTCCAGTGGGGAGGTTGCGCTTAGTCTGAAGGTTCCAGCAGCCGTCTGTGCGTAGGCCATATCTCCAGGCTGTTCCACATCCTGTGGACTTCGTGGTACGCCCTGAACAAGATGGAAAGAAGGGCTGTGTGTACCCGAATCAAGGAAACAGCACGTGTGATTATTGCAAAAGGAACCTTGACTTTGGAATTTCCTGATTTTTGAGAACTCCCGAATTTAAGGATCGTGTGTTTTCAGCCTCAAAGAATTTTCCAACCACAAAGTGAACCACCAGAAGAGGAATGTCAGACTGTGTTTCAGATTTCCTGTCTTTAGCACAGAGCTGATCTGCATTGTCCATAGACTGGGTGTGTTCAAGCTGTGACTGGGTGACCAGCTCGGATCCTGGGCAGGGATCCGAGGCCAGTCTCTGTCCTGTGGGAGCTTAGACTGATCGGAAGTGAGAAGGCAGGGCTGCAGGCCTGTTTTGTTTGGACCTACTGTGTTTGCCTGTATAGTCATTGTTTCTTCTTTTTTGATTTTCAAATTTCAAATTACTCAGCATTTAGAAATCAGCTGATTTCACTGTAAAAGTCCAGATTTCCAGATTCTTTTGAAAATACAGAACAGCTGTTAAGTTGGGCCTGCACGTCCACACAGCAGCAGTCACTGGGGTGGGTCGAGGCTGCCCGCTCAGTGGACACGGGCTCCATGAGTGAGCGTAGCTGCCACCGCTGCAGTCTGGCTGAGGGCAGGGACCCTGGATCAGCCGATATCCTCGCCTGCATTTGCTTGTATGTTCATTCATTCTATAAGAAGTGCTTGCTGGGCTCTGAGGCTCCAGACACAGCCCAAGACCCCAGAGAGGTCACCCTCTAGGAGATGAGGGCTCATGTAATTAATTGTCCACCTTCGTGGGTGGGCAACAGCTTAGAGGCACAAAATAGCTCATTGTCTAAAGTAGGGTTTTTCACCCGCAGCACTGTTGACGTTTTGGGCCAGATAATTCTTTGTTGTGAGGGGCTGTCCTGTGTCCTGTAGGATTTTTAGCAGCAAACCTGAGCCTCACCTCACTAGATGCCAGTAGCATCCCCTCAACTGTAACAATGCAAAACGTCTCAGGACATTGCTAAAGGTCCCCTTAGGGGCAGAATCGCCCCGGTTGGGAATCACGGATCTGAAGTTGTGAGGTGGTTAGTGGAGACATGCCATTTGAAATTTCAGCAAGATCTTAAGGAACTTGTTTATCTCCTAATTAGAGATTTGGATCAGCTCCAGGGTCAGGTCCTGGGCAGCCCTTGCTGCCCGCTCTGTGTTCCACGATCAGCATGTACCACACGGCGTGACAGGTGTGCACTCCTTGCCCACCTGCTGGCTGAAGCTCCTCCAGGAAAGGAGCCACGTTTCGCTCACCTTTGCGTCTCTCCTTCCGGCACCGTTTGCTGAATCAACAGGTACTAGGCTTCTCAATCCTGTACCCAAGAAAAATGATAAGCCTAAGCCCCCAACATTGGTCAACTTTTAAAGCCTTTAATTAAAAGCAGCTGCTCTTGGGGACTTCCCTGGTGGCGCAGTGGTTAAGAATCTGCCTGCCAATGCAGGGGACACGGGTTTGAGCCCTGGTTCGGGAGGATCCCCCATGCCGTGGAGCAGCTAAGCCCGTGCACCACAACTACTGAGCCTGCATGCCACAACTACTGAAGCCCGCATGCCTAGAGCCCGTGCTCTGCAACAAGAGAAGCCACCACAAAGAGAAGCCCACGCACTGCAACAAAGAGTAGCTCCCGCTCACCGCAACTAAAGAAAGCCCGTGCGCAGCAACGAACACCCAACACAGCCAAAAATAAATAAATGAATAAATAAATAAATTTATATATAAAAAAGCAACTGCTCTTGTCCAGCTAATTACCTTGTTTTTAACTATAAAAGCCCAGTATTTTAATATCTATGGCAAGCCCAGTAATTTAAATTTCCAGATTAATATGTATTCATTTTTTAATTAACAACATTTTACAGTGCAGATCGATAATGAATTCCCTCTATTCCAAAATTTCGGCAAAGGGGATTCAACACATACAAAAGGAAAAAATTCTGAACTGTGAGTGATGTTCCTGTCGACTAGAATTAGTTGTGTGTGCCTCCTCTTCGAATCCTCTTTAGACAAAGAGAGTCACTCTTCTCTGTGGAATCGTTTAGGTACAAGGAGAGAAAGGAATAACCAAATCACAACCTGTTTGTTTGTAGGATTTCCTGATCAGCTCCTCACCTTTGCCCATCATTCACCGGGCCTCTGCCATTGATCCTGGGCTGCGAACATGAGGATCGCTTCACTTGATTCCAGTCCCAACCTCATTAACACCAAGAGTCTTTAGAAAATGGTCTTATATCCTCTCTGAGTAGAGATGCCTGTGCCTTTGATTTTAGGGGAA